AAGAGACGTCCTATACATGAGGGTGTCTTATAGATGGAAAAATAACTAGCTTGAATACTTACCTCACCACTCGCCATCATGAATCTTTGATTTACATACTTACATCACCGTTATTCATCTTGACAGAGTAAGTCTATAGAACCCCTGGACCACAGCTCCTTGCCCTGTGCACTCTGTGTGGACCCTCTATTCAGTTAAATCGCAGCAGCTTCCCTTGTGTACTCTCTGCATGGACTCTCCGTACAGTTAAATCGTAGCCCCTTCCCTTGTGCACTCTGTGTGGACTCTATGTACAGTTAAATCATAGCACCTTTGCTCATGCACTCTGCGTGCTCTCAGATTACCTAAATCGCAGCACCATCCTGTGTGAAGGCAGCGTGAACTTGGGTTGGTTTTTTTTTTTACTTTATATAGTAAAAAAAATGTTTTTAAAAGCGGTCATTAAAAACCAAAGCTCCAAAGAAAGCTCTATTTGTCCCTAAAGCCAAACTTGCACAGCACAGAAAACTGAATCGCCTGGTAATAAAGGGGACTACTTCAGCCAATACTGAAGTAGTTTAAAAAGCCTTCACTGACCTCTGTATCTACATGCAAAGTTTAGTAATTAACCATAAAAGTTCACAGCAGAAACACCAAAGTCCTTGTCGAAGCTAACAAGCTCAGCTCCCCCCCGCACCCTCCCTGGAGTGATTTTGTAGCCCTCTTATCACTAATTTAAACACAGAGCAGTATGTCTGTGAAGGTTCTTTGCATTCACTTTTGACATAGAGGTGTTCAAAAATAGAAGGGGGTGCAGTCAGTTTCTTTGGGTTTCTTTTAGCCTCCTCTAACTCCCTCACCTTTCTTTACATCCTATACTTCCACCTGCCTTTTCGGGCATCGAAATTGGGATGCAAATATTAAATTATATATGGATTTATTTTATTGGGTTGTATGTATATAATATACTGAGCATGCCAGAAATATCCTTTTGGTTTTTTACATTATATTATCTCATATTGTAGCATCCAATTCAGTTGATTGGTGTTGCCCTCGGACTTGCCCCTCCACATGTGGCGTTTACACATATATACTGTATATATATTCTCTCTTTCTCTCTCTCTCGATCGAACACCGCCCTCCTGAGGAAGCTGTTGCAAAACATGTTGAAAATTAAACCAGCTTGATAAAACGTAACAAATCTAATTTGATCACTCTTGTGACAGAGAGCAGTTAAGCTGCACATTACTTATGCTTCTGACAAAACTTTGTGATTTCAAGGAGGTTGTTTGGTTCACACACATTAATGTATTGATTTTATGTAAATCAGGTTTTTATGTAATCAAATAATGATGTATAATTTTATATAAAATATGATAGAATCATTGTTTGCACCTTTAAAACCCCATTTACTACCAAGTTTCTTCTCCTTTTCATACAATCAGGGGTGTGGTATCGTGGCTCAAGGTAAAACGCCCAACACTATTATTGTAATATTCAATGATTCTGCAGTTAATTTTGAGGATTAATTTCTACATGGTGCCTTCAGCTGCAGATGGCAGTGAGGGTTCTTCTTGAACAGGTGCCATGACCTGAAGGCAGGCATCAAATATGTGCAGAGCACTGACATAGAAAGGAAAAGGGGTTATTGTGGAGGTACAAAACTGCTGTACAAAGCTTGATATAATGTTCATCACACATCCGATGCACAAGTAAAACATGCTTTCATTCCAGACAAGCAGGGGCCATAGCCTGCCAGCCAGGTAGCAGATTGAGTGCTAAATAATAACTGATGCTCCAGGATACAGAAAATATGACAAAAAGCAGCAATCCTCTTATGAACTAGACCTGATTTGATGCACATCGAGATCAGCTTTAATACTGAAGGTATTTAAGCTGCCATTGGAGACCAGATAGTAGTTCAAGTTATCTCCAGCACATAAAAATACACCTTCAATGCCAGACTTATTTTTATAGAATCACTATCAGCTTAAAAACCCCAATTTTAACAATAAACTTCTCCGAAATAAACGTATTGACTGGCCATGTTTATTGAGGTCTTAGAAAATGTAAAGACATTCCAATCAGCTTCATCTCCTGGCTCTAAGAGCCGGAGACTGTGTACAGTGACAAAAAAAATAGTTAAATGGCGTAAAGGGCGTTAATGACAGCCTGCACTTTGGGCAAGTAGCTCTCCGAATCTGCATCAAAATTACTACGTCATCTAAATATGCAGACGCATCGTTTTCGGTGTGGCTTAAGGACATGGTCCATCTTCCGCTGAAAAGTGGCTTGTGCCCCATTGTAGGGCAAACGACATCCTTTTATACTGCCAATGACCTTCTGGAGTAGAAAATGCTGTTTTCTCTTTAGCCCGATCAGTTAGGAGTATTTGCCAATACCTTTTTGTAAGGTCAAGAGGCCCTCAGCCTGTCACAGCTAAGGGGTTTTGGGCCATAAGGGATTCTCTATCTTTCCAGGGCTTCAATAAACTTATGTGATAAATTTGGTAGGGTTTCCGTCTACCAGGTT